CCTCACCCCCAGTCCACCTTCCTCCTGAGGGTTCGGGTCACCATTCAGAAGCAGGGGCCTCCCCCTTCAGATAAAGACCCCACAGTTGCCCACACCATCTTATCACGTGGGATTGGAAGTGGTCTTAAAGGTGGGCTCAGCCACCAGTTCACAGTTGCCAGCCCTCTATGGCCTTCACGCCAAGGATGGCCGGCACCTGGACTCGGGGGCCTTAGCTCTCCTCGGGTTGCCCCCGTCTTGGAGGGCTTCTTCCCCAAATGACCCCCACCTCTGCCCACGGTGGATGGTTCATCTGCCCTCAGCTGCTGGTTCTACTCTAGGAGGGCACACAGACAAGTCAGAACGTGCAGCAGGTTGAAAGCTCCCGGTGGACACTGAATTCTCATCCCAGAAGCAAAATCTGCTTGGGAGAAGGTCTCCGGGGGAGGGTGGCCAGCCACGCTTGTCACACCTGCAGAGAGGACCCAGCTGCTCCTGTGCCTGGGCCTGGGAGCTTTCATCGGGCAGTCCCAGAAACAGGTTCATGGCCTTTCCCCAGGGAACCCTGGGGTCTTCCCTCTCCTGCTCCCCGGATGCCGCAGTGAACCACCAGGACCTGTTTGTTCCTGGGAATGCCTTGCTCCCTCCTGCCTACGAGCTGATGAGGAGTTAGTCCGGGTGAGACCTGATCCCTTGTCCTATTCAGGAAACCTACCACCTGCCTAATTATCCGCTGGGCCGGCTCCGTGTGAACTGCACTTCCGCTCCATTTCTAACACTTAATTGGCTGTAAGGGACTGTGTGGCCGTGACCTCTTGCTAAACTCTTCCCATTAAGCTTTCATGTTTACATAGCACCATAAATTCAGCTCATCAGTCCTCCAGAAACTTCCCTACTTTCTGCCCCATTCTGGGAGGCCAATTACCTTCTGCTGTGGGGCAGGTTGGCCAGAAGGGGTCTTTCCTGCACTGCAGGGACAGCAGGTGAGGGGCCCCTCACATCCCTTCCCCTCCACTGGAGGCGTCCTGGAGCTTCCTCTTGTTCAAGCGCCTCTGGGTCCGTCAGCCCTTCTCCTTGGGTCACCTGTGACTGGCTGCTGGAACTTTTTCTCTGCCAGGCGGTGGCACGGTGCAACTTTGTCTGAAGGTCCCCGGGCCCCCTCTTTCCTACAGTCACCCAAATTCATGCAGGTTATGCAGCATGAACAACAACAAAAAAATATGCTATTAAAACTGGAGAAACTATGAAAAGTGACAGAATGAAATAAACATATACATGAACCAGGCGTCAGGAAACAGAGAAAGCACGCCAGGGGAAAAAATGCAAGATTTAAGGATTAATACTGGGCTGGGGGTGTGGCTCAAGCGGTAGCGCGCTCGCCTGGCATGCATGCGGCCCGGGTTCGATCCTCAGCACCACATACCAACAAAGATGTTGTGTCCGCCGAAAACTAAAAAATAAATATTAAAAAGATAAAGAAAATACATTCTAAGGATTAATACTGATAATATAACCAGGTACACAGTAATACAAACAGCAGGCTGAGATGGGGGCTACGGCACAGATGTTGTGCAAAAAGTCAAATATTGTCGGAACTGAAAAAATGGCAGAATCCACACTGAGACAAATTGCTCACTGAGACTGAAGATGAGATGGAAAACTAAGCAACAAACAAACAAATTAAAAAAAAAAAACAAAGAAGGATGAAATAAATAGGTAATTGTAAGGCATGAAAAAATAATAAGATAGGAAAATTTTTTTTCCTATGGAAAATATCGAGCAGGAAATTTAACAAGTGTGGAAGCAGTAAGATGATGCAGGAGTCGAAGGTTTCTGAGAGGTTTTTTAAAATAAAGAATTTAATCTGCAGAGAGTCCCTTTCAAGTTTAATTACCAGAGAAGGATGATCAGAAAATACTCCTGTAAAGCTTTAAAGACAAAGGGTGCATCATGTTAGTAAAAGAAGAGAAATACATTTCTAAGTGGCTGAGGTCTTGCAACCTGAACTACAGAAGCAAGGAGGATTAGAGAAAGCTTATACGATTTTAAATCCAGTGTGACACATTTACACTCCCAGACTCCAACAGAGAAAGAGGAAAATGTACTCCTGAATGACAAGACGAGCTTCCGAGGAGGATGGTGTTGGGCTCTGCTTTATCTCACAGATGCGATTCCATTAAATTAACAGTGAAAAGACTGCATAGGATGAAATACAAGTTATTGTAAATTATAACACAGGAAGCAAATTATGGAGAGCACCATCTATTTCTTCCTTCTGTAAACATTTAAGGAGCTACTGCTCTGTGCCAGGGTCAGGGCTGTTTTGCTGCAAACTTGTTCTAGCAGGCATTTTTTTTTTTTATTTCATAGCAACAATTATTAAGATGCTATCAGGAGATGACAGAAATTCTAGAAAGAGACTCTAAAGGAAGAAATATTTTAAAAATATGTGAGAAGTGAAACATAAGGAAGCACAGGGAAATAAATAATTGTGAGCTTTGTTGGGACAGCTGGAGCAAGGTGGACAAAAATCCAGATCTGTAATTCACAGTTTGCAGCATCGACTGTGTGGGGACTGTGATATTCAAAAAACTAAAAGGAAATAGGATCTTCCCCTCCTGCAGCTGTGGAGGGATTTAATTTCATCCTTACCTGAGTCAACACTCTCAGTGCTAAGGATGATGGGTTAAGGTCCTCAGAGATTTAAAGCTTCATGAAAGACAACAAAACTCAAATACCCAAGGAAATAAATGGGAAATACATATCATAGAGAAGCTAGAGAAAATTCTGAGTTCAAAGTGCCTTGAGGGTCCATACACGTCTACTGGGGAGGAAACCTTGTGTCCATGGAATCTGCAGCTGGACAATGTAATCAAGTAGCAAACTCAGTAGTGGAGTGAGGAGGAAGGCAGTCATCTCACACGTGAGTCAGAAAAAGGGAAATAAAAGAAAATGAAGCTGCCCCTTCCTATTAGCCAAACCAAGCCCCAGTAATAAAACCCAAGCTGGCACCTTTCCCTGCATTTCTCTGGGATCACTGAAGTTGGTGTTTGCCTGCAGGAGGACAGGCGGGGAAGAAGAAAGTCCTGTGAGCTCGAGCTTCCCGCCAACTTCCCTTTGGTTGGAGTGGAGAAAATTACTGCATATAAATTAAAATATATTTTATACAGAAGTTTACGGTGGAATTGCTTACAATAGTGCAGACCCCAATAATCCCATGCTGCGAGAGGGGAAGCAATCCAAGCGTGAGTTCAGAACCCTATTACAGTACCACCGACCACAAGCCGAAAGCCACTCAGGTCCACGGAAAGGGGACCCACCAAACGTTTAAGCAAAAAGCACGGTGAGGTCTGTTCACATAACTAATTAGAAATTACGCATATGATGGAAAATGAAGAGTCTCTGAGAAGTGTTGATGGTTATGTCGATGACAAAAGCTTTGCCAGCTTTTATTCTTACCGTGTCATCTGCTGCGCAGTCTTCTGTATGATTATTATCTCATTTAATTGATCTTACTTAATCCCCACACTACACACCGTAGGTCGCTCTCTAGAGGACACTGATGTATGCCAAGTTAAGTGACTTGCCCAGGGTCATGCAGCCAGGATCTGAAGATCGGGGTCCAAGCCACAGCACCCTCAGTTCCCTTTGCTGTGCGCATTTGACGTGTTCTCTGGGCCTCCTCTTGGAGCAGGCCCTGCCTGGCGGGTCTTGGGGAGCGGGGAGGAGGCGTCTCCAGCAAGCGCTGGCTGTACCCCTTCAGGGTGCCGCGTCCTTGCTATAGCATCAGCGAGGCCGAGTGGCAGTGTCAACAAGGCTCACTCTCACTCTGAGCCCCTTCTGGTCTAGGTCTAGGTGGAATAAGCCCCCTGCCCTCCTGCGGTGATGTCAGCACCTGGGACCCCGCCCGCAGCTGCAGAACGACATGTGCTCATCTCCTGGAGGCTGCGTTCCCTTCCCTCTACCCTTCTCTCACGCCTCCTGCCTTTCCGGATGAATGTTTAGCACCCACCTACCTTAAAATGACTCTAAAAGCATTCTTCTCTGAGCCACGTCTCCTTGAAGGGCCTTGGCCTCCCGACTCGCCTCCCCCACACTTGGATCCCGACCGAGCAGCTGAGGAGAAGCACCTTGGGACATTCCTAGGGCGTTTCCTTGCTGGGATACTGCATTAGGGGGTCAGGTGGCAGAAGAAGCCTGGGCTGTAGGGGAGTCCCCAGGAGCCGTTAGGGGCCACTCCAGAGCTGGGACACTGGTCTCATGCACATCAGGCTGTCCCAAGCCCAGTGCGAAGCGATCAGGTGGCCAGACCTGGTCACAGAGATTGAGGGCTCGTGGCAGACGAGGAGGAGGCTCATCACCTGCTGCCTGTTTCGGTAGGACCCATGAGCTAAGAGTAAGACTCACACTTTTAAATTAAATTAAAAAAGACTTTTTTTTTTTTTTTTTTTGGCGTGTGACATGGGACAACTATACGACATTCAAATCTCAGGGTCCATAAATAACGTTAAAACACGGGGAACCTGTTTTTTGCTACAAGGGACAGCTGAGTTGTGTGGCTGTGGTAAGGGACCATGTGGCCCTCCCTCAACACTTGGAACGTCCACTCTCTGACCTGGTTCAGAAGTCTCACTGACCCCTGGTCTGAAGGAACAGCCCCTGTCCGTCCGTAAGAGCTGCTTCCTTTGAATGGAAACTTCCTGCTCTTCCTTTTTTCTATCATTTTTTTTTTCTTTTATCTGGTGCTGGGGGTTGAACCCAGGACCTCCCAACATCCTAGGCAAGCACTCCACCGTGGAGCCACGCGCCTAGCCCTTTATTTATTTATTTTATTTTTATTTGAAACAGGTCTCAGTAAGTAGCCCAAGCTGGCCTTGAACTCACCATCCTCCTGCCTCAGCCTCCTGAGCAGCAGGGATCCCAGGTTTGCACCACCAGGCTTGGCTGCTCTCCCTGTTTTGAACTTTACACAAAAGAACCCCTGCCCCTCTCCTCTTCCTGTCACGTATGTTTCATTCCAGGACCAAGGAATGAGCTCTGCAGAGGAAGGACTTTGAGATCAGGCAGCCACTTAATAACCTGTGGCCCAGGAGGGAGCTAAGGGCTGGATGGAGAGGTGGGCGCATGGGGGCTTTGAAGCCATTCCCTACTGGTAGAAACAGAAGGGTTCTAGCATGTTCCCAGCCCTCTTGAGAGATGCATGTGGCCTCACAGGAGTTAAGTGGAACCCCCAGAGTCCAGCAAACCATTTCTTCCTCGTGTCTGATCTTACCCCACTGTGAAGCCTTTTTTTTTTCCGGTTTTAATCTTTTATCTCCCAGTCCTTTCTTTTGGAACTCCCAATAAGAGGTTTTCACTTTAAAAAAGAAAAAAGTTAGACCCTGTTCTCAGCCCAGAGAGTTCATCTTACAAAGATGTCTCAGCAAGAGAAAAAGGAGATACTGTGACTCATTGTAATGGGGGAGATATTGTGACAAGAAAGACGTTAACATCTTAATGAAAGCCCTGAGGGGAAATTTGCATGAAACAGTCTCTTTGTTGCTTAAAAAGAGCCACTGATGCCTTATTTAAAAAAATCAAACCCCGATTTTGTTAAATATTCAGGCTGGAAGTGATTTAGAGTATTTTCCTTATCTTCTGGGTGATTTTTTTTCTTTCCTTGACAGATACCAAGATACTCAGAGTTGAAGAGGCCGCCCCCTCTTCCTGGCCCGCCTCCTGGAGGCCCCTGGAGGACACTGCCTGGTTCCCCGCAGACCCTGAAGCTTTCTCAAGTTGGGGAAGAGCTAGAGGAGGGGACTGCTCCTGGGACTTGGGGCTCAATAGTCAGGAACCCCCCTCTCAAGTCCCACACCACTCCACTTTGTCAACTCCACTAAAAAAAGTTCTCAATTGGTTTTTGAGTCTCTTGAAATGTATCTTTCATGTAAAGTTTGCCCAATATTCCTGACATAGTGTTGCTTGAAAACCCACAGGGACAGAAAGCTCACTTCCTAGGGCAGGAAGTGCCACATGGGGCTGGAATCTGGCTCCCATGAACCCCTCCACCAGGTCTTGGTCTTTCTTCTGGAATTAAGAAAATAGCAAGGGTTTTCTGTTATTGTTTTCAATTATGTATCAGCATTGAGAAGTCCCACGTAGGCCACCTCTTCAGCTGGGTTCCTGTGATGCCACCTCCAACAGGAGACCATCTCCCTTTCCTTATGCAGAGGCTCCTACAGGAGGAGGAGCAGAGGCCTCTGCGGCAGGGGGATGTTTATATCCTCCTGGGTACGTGATACCCAGGCAGGGAAGGTTTTGCCTGGGGGTAAGAAGAGCAGGGTATCCCTGCTCAGGGACAAGGACATCTGATCATTGGGGCCTCATTGAATAGGAGGAGGAGCGGGAGGTTCTGAATGGAGCCTATTCAGATTGTGGTCAAGAGGCAGCTCAGAGGGGTGGGGGTGCCCAGGCTTCTTCCCTCCCTCATTCACACCCCCTCATGGGAAGTCCATTTTCAAGGCCACATATATTCCTACTCCCCCAGCAGCCCGACTACTGTGGGCACCAGATCATTGCTATGCCACCTGCCACCCTGCACTGCAGCAGCCCTGCATCCTGCCCACAGCTGCAGTCACTAGTCTTTGCAGGTTCTAATGGGGACAACAAACAAACCACCGGGTAGCCCTTCTGTGGCCCAGTTTCCCAGGTGGAGCATCTATACATAGCCCTTCCCCAGCAGCCAGTGCAGGGCAGCAGCCCTGCTGCTGGGGCGGCAGGCAGCTCAGGCCAAGCAGGACCACAGAGGAAAGAGGGGCTGGCCGAGGAATAGCTGGGGCTGTTGACTGCAATCCAGCAGCCAGTCTCAAGGTGACTTTGTGGATAAGGGAAAAAACAAACAAAACCCTGCAAAAATGGACTTAAACACTTTCTGCCACTTCATGTTCCTGCTTGACTCAAGATGCCATGGCACGAGTGTGGGGGGCAGAGCCTGACCTTTTCCCTTTCCTGTCTTTCCTTCTCCCTGAAGAAGCACTGTGTGGCTCATAGGGCAGTGACAAATCAGCAAGGGCACCTGGCTCTTGTGCCCTGGCAGGACCTTAGAGGTCCAGGTCCTTTTCTCTTGCAGCCCAAGGTCCATGGCTGAGGCACCTGTGATAAAAGGCCAATGAACTATTTAGTGTAAGTTTTATGTGTCACGGAGGCTTCAGAAACAAAGACCTAAAGAAACCAACAGGGAAAACCATGTGTTCGTTTTTGTGTTCTGTATGGGAGCTGGAGCCCAAGTGTGCTCTACCACCAGCTACATCCCCAGCCCTTTTTATTTTCTTTTGACACAGGGTCTTGCTAAGTTTCCCAGGCTGGCCTCAAGTTGCAATCTTCCTGCCTCAGCCTCCTGAGTTGCTAGGTGTGAACTGGAGAAAACTGCCTTTTTATGCTAAGTGTGATGCAGAAGTGCACGGATGGCATGGAGAAAGGTGAATGGCAATCAACTGGCCTGTTTGTTCAGGTCTTCTTGGCCTCTCTATGTCTTGGAGGGTGTCATGGTTTGGATGTGAGGTGTCCCCAAAAGCTCACGTGTGAGACAATGCAAGAAAGTTTGGAGGAGAAATGATTGCATCATAGCCTTAACCTGCTCAGTGAATCAGTCCCTGGTGGGATTAACTGAGTGGTAACTGGAGGCAGGTGGGCTGTGGCTGCAGGAAGTGGGCTTTGGGGCGTGGCTATGGGGTATATATTTGTATCCCGAAATTGAGACTTCTCTCTCTCTCTCTCTCTCTCTCTCTCTCTCTCTC